TGCAAAATTGTTCCTTCCAACAGAAAAGGCAAGGAAGATTTGCTCCTTGGCATTTCAGATCATCACAGCAAGGATGTCGTCCCTCTCCATCCTGACCAGAATGATGGGCCTCATGGTGGCAACATTCGACACACTTCAATGGGAAGGTTCCACTCCAGGCAACTTCAACTGTTCCTGAGACCCTTTCAAACTCAGATTGCACTGGGGATGGATTTCCAGCTGAAGGTGCCTCTCCAGGTAAAAGTGAATCTCCGCTGGTGGACCCATCTCAACAACCTTACTCTAGGCAAGACTTTCTGGATTCCAGACCAGACCCAGATGCCAGAACCTGACTAGCCAGTCTGTTAGGGTGATGCCAGTCTGTCAACTTTCTGGATTCCAGACCAGACCCAGATATTCACAGATGCCAGTCTGTTAGGGTGGGGAACCACTCTGAAGAATGATACGGCACAAGGCAAGTGGTCCCCAAAGGAACAGAAACTACCCATCAACCTACTAGAACTACGAGCCATCAGATTGGCACTACAACACTTCGCCCTCCTCATTTGGGAGAGACACGTTCTAATCAGGACAGTTCTTTTTTTTCCCCAATAATTTTTTTATTGATTTTAGTCTAATCAGGACAGTTCTAATCTCAGCGAAGGCCTACCTGAACAAACAGGAGGCTCCAGATCCCTGACTCTGCACAGGGAAGCGAGGAGATTGATGGAATGGGCGGAATCAAATTTGTCCTCGATCAAGGCGGAACACGTGAAAGGTGTGGTGAACGTTCAGGCAGACTGGCTGAGTCGCCAGTGGATACAGGAGAGCGAGTGGTCCCTAAATTGGAAGATCTTTCAACTCATTACAGAAACATTGGGGACTCCCCTAGTGGACCTCTTCACAACGCCAACCAATACTTAGCTAGTCAGGTTCTTTACTCGATACTATCACTCGCAAACGGAGAACACGGAACACCCTGATGTCACCATGACCCTGAGGGCTACTCTACACGTTTCCTCCACTCCCAGTACTTCTGAAACTTCTAAGAAGGATTCAAATCCTGAGGGCACATGTAACATGGGTGGCGCCCTACTAGCCACGGCGCCTGTGGTTCACTTCTCTGCAGCAGATGGCAGTAGCTCAACCTCTACATCTGCCTACATCACCGGACATGCTGATATAGGGACCACTTTGGCATCCCAGGCCGGAGTGGTTCTGTTTGACTGCATGGGAATTGAAAGGAGGAAACTGTTGAAGCATGGATATAATCATCAGGTCATAGAGACGATCCTAGCATCCAGACGCCCATCAACGTCCAGAATCTATAACTATACGTGGAAAGCCTTCATTCGCTGGGCCAGAAGGAAGAAGGTAGATCCTCTGCATCCTGAGTTGGCATCCATTCTGGATTTTCTGCAAGATGGCGTGAATAGTGGTCTTTGAGCGGCAACCTTAAAGAGACAAGTTGCAGCACTAGCTTCAGTCCTTCCTCATTTCACAGGCTTACTAGTTTCTCAGCATCCTTATGTGATACGTTTCCTTAAAGGAGTGTCATTTAAACTTCCTCCAACTTGGAAACTCAATACGGTTCTTACACCACTCACAAAAGTCCCCTTCGGACCGCTTAGAGATATCTCTCTTCAGTTTCTAAGAATGAAGGTTCTCTTTTTGGTAGCCATAACCTCGGCCAGGAGAATATCGGAACAGAGCGCCCTATCAATACGGTCGGATCGATGTGTTTTCCACAAAGATAAGGTCATCCTTAGAACAGATCCTATCTTCTGTCCAAAAATCAATGCGGAATTTCATAGACTACGGGAACTCTGCTTGCCATCGTTCGTTCCAAATCCCACTCATCCTAAGGAGAAGCTTTGGCATACCTTAGATGTACGAAGGGCTCTTAAGTGTTATATCTTCAGAATGACTTCATTCAGGAAAACTGAAGCTATGTTCGTAAATATCTCTCCTCCTCACACGGAGAAGAAAATGTCTAGTGCGGCCATAAGTAATGTGCTCAGAACATGCATAGCAGAAGCTTATAAGAGTCTGAATCAGACCCCACCGAAGGAGTCACGGCGCATTCCCTGCGCAGCACAACTAATGCAGCATTTGTTAACAGAGCCTCTGTGGAGGAAGTTGGCAAGGCCGCTACGTGGTCGTCTCTGTCCACATTCATTAGGCACTATAAAATTAACTTGTACGATTCTGCAGATGCAGCCTTTGGCAGGAGAGTACTTCAATCTGTTCTTTCCTACAATGACGACCTCCCTCCCAACCTTTAGGGACACTGCTCTGGGAGGTCCCACAAGATGGCCTCCACCTCAGAGTGAGAACAACCATTGGATACTCACCGTGAAGGGTCCTTCTCCTCTGAGGCTTGGAGGACATTTTGGCCCTCCCAGGTCGTCATCTTCTGTTCTTCTGTTACTTTTATCTTCCTTATGTCAGACAGAAGGTAAGAGAGAGTGAAGTCTGTTTTTTCCTTCCTGTTCTCAATGTTGTGGTTGTTCTTTCTTAAATGTTAGCAGGTTATTCTGTTTTTTTCTGCTTTTGTTAAGAAGGTCAGTTGTTAGAATACTGCTTTCGGAGCACCAAAATTGAGCCTAGGGTGACTCCCACCACAAGAAACAGGAAGTTTGAATTAGTCCTGCCTCCCTGAGTGATGGATGGGAATCACCCACAAGATGTCCTCCAAGCCTCAGAGGAGAAGGACCCTTCACGGTGAGTATCCAGTGGTCGTTCTAAGTTACTTACGTGATCTTTCATCCCAAACCAGGTGGGGGGTGGCGTATGTTGCTAACTCAGGCTTGGGAAATTCCTGGAGATTTTGGATATAAAGTTAAACTATATAACTTTAAGGATTTTTTAAATGTATCATTAAACACAGTATAGGATACTGTTGCCAAAATTATTTAACCAAAACATGTCTAGTTACCATCTCCATCACTGATACCTATCTTACACACAGATTTTGTACTACACATTTTGAATAAAGCCTTCTCTTTAAAAAACATTTCACTTGTTCCAAAAGGTACAAAATATTTCATGGGAATTTCTTGCAGTGTTCCCTGAATTTGACTTTTTTCATTGGAATAACTGAAAAAACTTTCAAGAAAAAACATGGTTCCACCCTAATTTTTTTTCATTCTCCCCATTCCTGCCTTCACATCTCTTTCTCCAGGGAAAATGATCTTTGTACTCTGGGAATGAGTTGTAATGTTGGGAGAACTCCTGCCTGCCTCCCCTCCCCCAGAGGGTTGTAATCCTAGGATGGTGGCAGCTATATTCTGAAAATCTTTTACTTTCTGTAGAATCCTAGTGCAGCTAGAAGCTGGTTTTTGATTGTTCTTATCTTTGCTGGAAATATAGCTTGCAAAACTACCCGTCAGCTACAAGATCAGGTTCAGTTTTCAAGGTCTAGTCTTTTGGTGAAATGCATATTCAGTTCTGCCAATTGTAGAAGGCTGGCTACCAAATATAGTGGCTTAAATTCCTCCTTCAGAAGAAAATTCATTTAGACAGTTTTGAAGCCCTAAAAATTATATGATGAAAAATGCACAGCAATACATGTTATACAGCAGCATCACCCATACAATAAACTGAAAATCTCATTTGTAGAGAAATGCTTAAACTTTATTGCTCCTTATAAAAATCACCACAAGGCATTTTCTTGCAAGTCAAAATTTATTTTCACAGTACAAGATAAAAATTCTGAATACAAAATGTCTTAGAATTTCTACTTTATTCTTCCCTTTGCAAGCAAAATTTGTTTAAGCCTACCTGTATTACTAGCAGTAAGTGAACAATACCTATGTCTCATCATAAATTAATATTCTGAAACATAGTTTTAATGGGAATCAATCTTCGGAGGAACAGTAAATGAATTCACCATACCTATGACTGGGCAATGAGATTCCCACAACATACAAGCAGTTGTTACAGTTATCTCAAAACATTCAGTAGTCTGAATTCTTGAGCCAAGGACATACAGCGAATCACACCCATCCAACTAGGACAACATTTATGCAGATCCCCTGTTGATTGGGAGCCATTCACAAAGTAGTCTTGACAAGTGCCTGGCTGCATCTAGTTCACATGGCTATATTCAAAGTTCCCGTTATCGGATCAGGAGCTACAAACATAGCTCTAATCCAAAAGGTGGCTACGGCAGTTCAGATATGCAGGGATAGAGGTACTAAACAGGAGATCAGCATGTAGCTATGCATTTGGGTACTGTCTCTTCATGGTGTTAAACCTATTGTACTGGACCATGACAGCATTAATATACTTGCAAAGTTACTATATGTAAAGTGATGGCTCCATTTAGGCTTTCACTATGCCTTATATGAAACCCTTCTACCATTTTAAATGCCATTTTAATTCTACAAACTTACATCTATCAGTTCCGAAGTATAGGTAAAGGTTTTCAGTATACGAGGGTGCTATTCTGCTGTGACCCTTGCCGTCTAATCACACAATTTGGCACAGCCATTATTTTCAAAAGTATCATATTCCTGAGTAAATTTTTTAGGATCCCACTGTTAGGTGCCATTGCTCTAAATGTGCCTATCTCTTGTCATACTGACTTCCGTTCAGTTAACTGCGAACTGGTTGCATTCTCAAGTCTACATCTGCATGTTAACTGAGAATCCCGAAAAGGGGGGGAGGCAATCAAATCTATTGCAATTGTGTATGTGACTTAAAGCAATCTGAATGATTTATGATTGGCAAGGGTGCAGCAACTTCAGTGATCATCTCCTTGGGTTGTATGCAATACATGCTGTAGGTTAAGGATACATATAGGATTAAGAGACAGTAAGCACAGCCTCAGACAACACTTCACAGTTGAATGAGCTATTTGGATTTACAGCAACAGTTGTCAACAGTATATATTTTGAGAAGCAATAGGCTTCTTCACAATATGTTTACAATTTAACAGCCTTTCTGGGAATTCTAATTTTTTCCTTGCATGTCTGGCATTAAATTCCATAGAAGCTGCCTTGATAGCGGTAAAAATTTTGCTAGAGTTGTGTAAAACAAAGCTGATTTAATGCTACCACTTTGGCCTAACTGAGTTATTGGTCAAGAACACATGAATATCATTCACAGATCAGGATCTGCCTGGAAAGGTATGAAACGTTAGCTCTGGGTGGAAACTACACTATGTATTTGAGAACCGATAAATTTAAAATAAATCAATTCAATAATGCCTTTTAAACCAAAATAGTGTATCCAAATGCTTGACAGAGAAATACTATAAATGTCTAAGAAAAGTATTCCAAAAGCAATTTGACACCAAAATTCCAGTAGACACAGCAGCTGAATTGTCTTAAAAATCTGTTCCTAAAGACTGCTGTAAGAGCAAGCTGTGGTTAGGTGAATACACACACACACCAAGTTGGATCTGTGCTGCATGTTTCTGGGGGTGCAAAGATTTCTGCCCATGGAGTGCCATTTTCCTGCCTCCCCCTTCCTGCAGCAGTCCCAAAGGCCTTCCAAACTCTTGTTTCTAGGGGAGAGGGGACCCCTCCCCAGAGCAGAATGTGGTATTTCAGGTTGCTGTGGATGGGGATGTGGGAAACTCGGTGCATAGAAATCTTGATGTCTGCAGAAACATCTAGACTGCACCCAAACCATCAGCTGCTGTACAAGCACATCACAACAAACACCTGTGCGACCATGCTGGCAGTGCAGCTATGCAGTGGAGACACAGGTTTCTAGCTTAGTGTACCGGGCAAAACTAGCACATGGGTGAGATTTCAGGTTTGGGTTAAAGGGGTTTTATTTATTTTATGTATTAAAACTGGTGCCACGGTTCAGCTAGCTAGCACCGTTAAATAAAATCTTGAACTTCCACAGGTGAGTTAAAGGCCGGGCCTGCTTAACTTCAACTCAAATCATCAGCACCTTGAGTAAAATGGTACCCAGCATGGTGACAGAAAAAACTCTAAATACAAAATGCCTGCCTGTTTTGAGCACATGCCAGAATAAAACCAAAGTCCAGCTGGCAGATTTGAAATGTTCACTGAAAGGAGAGTACAGTATCTGATCCAGCCAAAATTAAGTGGTTTGGGGTTTTTTTTAGTTTCAGTGATCTTAGTGAGATTTTAAGTATATTTTCAATTACCCGACTGAAATTAAGAGGACTCAAGCACTTTAACCTGGATCAAGCACAAATTATGTACTGGAATTTAAGAACTTGTTTAACGATGGTTGGTATCTAGCACTAAAACCACAGAACAGTTTGAGTCCAAGGAACATTTAAAAATAAAACAAGTGGTTATCTTTTTACGTACTATCTGCCACGTCGTATGCCACTTGTGGAAGCACATGAAAAGAAAGCACTGTGCCAGAGAAGGGTTAACAAAGTGGTAATATTTTAAATAAAAACTAAGCCCCCTAAATACTTCATCAGAAAGTTTAGTACTATAATGTGTGAACAAGCTTTGTACAAATCTGTACATCTCAACTAGAATTTGTACCCCAGATGGATTGGATGAAGCAGCTTAAAATAAAGTCTGAAGCAAATGAATATGCACGATACTCTAGAAAAACCATGTTATTCTGGTTCCTGTTTAGCAGATGTTTTACCTTCCCTAAAATAAAATATTAGCACTCTGCTGGAGTAAACCTGGTTTACACGGCCCTGCCACAGCCTGGTGGTACAGCATCTTCAGCTTGTCCCATATAGTGCTATGTACTGCGGAATGTAGTCATGTCCTTTGGTTCACTGCTCGGGACGCACCAGTCATCTGCTTCATGATTTGCTGTGTAATGTCTCCAAGCTGATTTGTTATACACTGGCAGCCTTTCAATGGATTCTGTGGATAAAGCCTAGACAGAGAAAGAGATTGAGAGTGTCAGTGCAGCTTGCCCTATTGAGATTGTGTCTTTTAAATGGAAAGAATCGAAATAAGTGGAAAACTACATGCCTTGATAAAGATAACAGCGTCTGTCCCATAACCCTCTAAAGAATACAGCTTCAAATCTCCTTGGAAGTACTGAGCGTAAAGACGTGAGATGGGTAAACCGTAACCAAATCCAGCCTAAGCACAAAAACACATTTGAGTTAACTGAAACATCCCAAACATAAAAAACATAACTACTCAGTATTTCCTAAATTTACATGAAAGCAAGTCTGTTGCTATATGTCGAGAAGGGGAAAAATCTGTTAACTTTTACAAAGGAAAAGAGAATGAAGGCAACAATACAAGTTGGTACTCTTTTTTTTTCTTTCCCCCATTCAAGCCAAAGATGTCCTACCCAGTAGGAACTACAACTAGCAGCTGGCCTTGGTCTGCTTGTTCTTTCTTCACTACTGCTCCTCTGTAGCACAGTCAGCCAGAGCATTATTTTCTAGTACAGAAACCTGATAGAGCAAACTATTCCACACATTACAAAATCAGGGTTGCGTGCATCTAACATGAAAGGATTGCATGCAAACAATGGGTGTTGATTATAGGACCAAGGGCCACTTGTAACATATGCTTATCTCATGTTACAAGTGGTCCTTGGTCCCATAACGATACATGCCATTGACATGCAATCCTTACTACAGGGCTATGTTCAGGTACACACCCCGTACACCTATTAATTTTATAATGTGTCCCTTGTGTATCTATACCCTGTACCTGATACACACTTCTCTGACATGGATAGCTCAGGCTAGCCTGATCTTGTCCAATCTCAGAAGCTAAGCAGGGTCAGCTCTGGTTAGTACTTGGATAGGAGACCACCAAAGAAGTCAAGGACTGCTATGCAGAGGCAGGCAGTGGAAAAAACCACTTCTTCGTCTCTTGCATTGAAAACTGTTATGAGGTTGCCTCAAGCTGGCTATGACTTTAAGATCAAAGAACAAAACCCAGTACCTACGTAGCTTAATAAAAGAGAATGCAAGAAGGGACTCTGAGACACTGCAGAACTTCAGGCAAAATGGAGCAGAAGCAATGCACCTACGAAAAGCCTGTACGTTACGTAACCTGTTTGTCTGACCGGCTGTTCTGTGGCAGAATTGTTTTAACCAGGGAAAGGGCCTAAGCACCAACACAGACAGCTTTGCCTTAGTGTTGGGACCTAGTTAAGATCACTAGTGCAGGATTGTGTCACAGCTACTAGGTAAAGGAGCACCCAGGATTATTTAGTTTGTGGATTTCAGTAGCAAAGGAAAAGGATTCTAGGTTGTGCTTACCAGTGTGTGTCTGTATAAATTTGTTCCTACATTTCAACCCCTTCACTCAAGGAAAAGTTGCAACCTAAAGCAGAACTTGTAGCTTTTGAATGACTGTCTTTTATTGGGACAATGTTACTTAAAAAATCCTAATTAACGTTGTCTTAAATACTTTATTTTTATCACAGCGACATGAGCAAAATAAGAATACGGTCTTTTCGAAATTCCTCTTTGTGTCCAGTCTGAGAACAGAGATCAGAAAAGGGAGTTAAGTTTCTTCTTTCCGTGAGCTCCAATATCCTTGGAACTGATACTAGCAACCCTTAATGGAGCATCTCTTTTACTCTGGCAGTTTCTGTAACCTTTCAAGAGAAACAGAGCTGGTGCAGAAGTTACTGCAGTCAGATAATGGCCTGCATCCAGTTAGGTACCACAGGACTGTTAATATCAGAGGAAGAGATTCTTAGAAGTAAATGGTTCCTGTGGTTAGAAAAAAAAATCACATTTTCCAATTTATTCCATCTGATCCGAATTGTGAGATTTTTGTGACCATGGAAAAGGAATGGTCATCTTCCATTATTTTCCTGTCCTCAGACAATGGTCTTATGAATAAATAAGCAAACAGTTATTTCTGGATGTAAGTCCCTGGATTTCACCAGCTCACAGAATCTCAAAAAAACAACAACTGTAGTTAAAAAGTTCAGCATTGTCCCATTCCACTTGTTAGAAGCCCATGATCTTGCACAAGGCTAGGCATAATCAAAAGCATGGATCTGGGTTTCTGTGCAGTGCCTCTATAATGCTTGGTGTTCCTCCTGGAAGGCTGGTTGATTTATTTAGTATACTTATAGCCCACCTTTATTCCTGAGACCCAAGACAAATTACAGGCTGTTAAGATAATGCAATCAAATAGCATGAGACACCCAACAAACTTTTCTTTTTGCCATCGAGTCACAGCTGACTTATGGTGATCTCATGGGGTTTTCAAGGCAAGAGACATTCAGAGGTGGTTTGCCACTGCCTGCCTCTGTGTCACAACCTGCTATTCCTTGGTGGTCTCCCATCCAAATACTAATCAAGGCCAACCCTGCTTAGTTGCCGAGATCTGACAAGACTGGACTAATCTGGGCTATCCAGGTGAGGGCAAACAAACAACTAGGACAGCAAAAATTAGAAACAATGCAAAGAAGAAAATATGAGACGGTGGAAAAATGGGAGTTACAAAAGTAGAAAACAATACATTAAAAGCAAGATAATATATACCATAAACAGTGGAAAAGGTTACAATCCTGTTTCCTTTATAAAGCACCCTCCATTCCATTTTACAACAGCATTATTCCTTTTATAGAAATGCCCTCTTGAGCAACTATGGAATGAACGAAATGTTGGGGCTTGCCTGACCTCCTCAACCAAGCCATTCTACAAAGTGGAAGCTACAATAGCACGTGTACAGGGCAGCTGTGGATCTTACCCATTTGCAGGGTGGCACATTCAGACAGTTTTGCCCCGGCCCAAACTAGATGATACCTACGTCCCTGAGTCTGCCCTGGGGACAAGACAGCATTCTCTAGGAATGAGTTCCCACCAAGGAACTTCATTTAGCAGTGCCATGTGGGGGAGGGGTGTCCTCCTTCTGCACCAGTTTTTCTGACACAAAATAGCACTGGGGGCAGGGGTGTAGCCAGAAAATTTGGGGTGGTTGGGAAATCCTGTGGGGAAGGGGAGCTGGAGGAAAGAGAGAGAGAGCGGTGAGCCCACCCACAGCAGAGGAAGAGGACTCGGCTTGGCGACCGTGACCCCACTGCGCCTGCGCCAGCCCAGCCATGTGACCTGCCATCATGTGACCCTGGCTGTCTCATCTGGCACAGGGGCATTGAGGCCACTGCCGCCAAGCCGAGTCCTCTTCCTCTGCTGCGGATGGGCTCGTCGCTCACAGCTTGAGCCGCATTTAAAAGGGGGAGCCGAGTCCCCTTCCTCATCTACATGAGTCAGGGGAGGGGAATCTCCAACTCATTCTCTCTTGCATTTTGCAATTTTATTTTATTTTATTTTAAAAAACCTACCTATTTTTCAGTCCGGAAAAAGAGAAAATGAGACTGAAGCTTCCCTGGCTGTGCCTGGGGTCATTTTGGAAACCTCACGTGCATCATACATTTCTTAAATGTTATTTTAAAAAAAAAATCCTCCCCCAGGGTGGTTGCTTATTCATGAGGGCACTGCCCCCAAATGCCCCCCATGGCTACATGCCTGACTGGGGTCATTATTCTTATTCCCCCCCACTACCACCATTTTGGGTCAGAAAAAGAGCACAGTGGGGAAAGTGGGCGCCCCCTCTCCCCCTCCTGCATCACATAGTTCCTAAACAGAACTAGGTCCTTGGCAGTGCTTTTAAAAGAATTTCCCCGCGGTGTACTCTCGCCTACAAAATGGCGCCACATTCCCATTGTTCTGCTCTAACAAGCATTTCAATTCATGCTTGTAATAAACAGTGGATTCTGACTAAAAATAGTTAAAAATAAAGAAAAAACAAAGCGTTCATTTCTTAACAATGTAATTGATTGCACAAACCAGAGGTGTAGCTCGTGACGTCTCAACACGAGGACGTGGTGCAGTTGAATACATATAATTAAACAGGCGATCTATTTTCCTCAAAGGAACACCACCACCACGATCACACATCTAGAATGCAAAAATACCAAGTGTTCCTAAGTGTATAAAAATTCTTTTATTTTTAGGAATATGTTCCACAAACAGCAGCACAACTGAGTAGCCCTTAGAGCAGATTCAGACAGCAACAGACATGTTTGGCAAAACCAGTGTCACATTACAAAGTCCAAACTTCTTTATTTATTTACAAGTTTTATACCCCATCTGACTGCCCTCATCAAGGCCACCAAGGGGGTTAGCAAATTAAAAACACATGACAAATATACTTCATTAAAAACTATTCAACCCAGACAAAAACACATAATCAAAACATTAAAACCACAGCTAAAATTCACAAAAACAGCAGCTGAAACATGAGGCAAGAAGGAGGGGTTACTTATGGAACACCAGACCCCAAAAAAGGTCTTCACCCGCTGGTGAAAGACAGCACAGCAACAGAAGGGGACAGACTTTATGGTGTGTATCTGTAGACTTGGTAAAGTGCCTCGGTGTGGTTGGATTCTGCGCCATCATTGGATAAACAATTTCTTTATTTGTTTGGGTCGGACCTTGCCACATAGATCCATGTAACAGTCACCTCCGGACTGGACGAATGCAATTCGGTCTACGTTGGGCTACCCTTGAAAATGCTCTGGAAACTGCAGGTGGTCCAGAATGCAGCTGCCAGGTTGCTAACTGGGACATCATGGTCAGCTCACATTACTCCAATTCTGCAGCAGCTGCACCAGCTACCAATCAGTCTCTGGATCCAATTCAAGGTGTTGGTGTTAACCTTTAAAACCCTTAATGGTCTTGGACCCTCGAACCTACAGGATCGCCTTTCCTGGTGCAACTCCCTGTGCTCCCTTCAGTCATCCTCTAGGGGCCTCCTGCATGTGCCTGGCCCCAGGATGGCTTGATTGTCACCAGGGGAAGTGTCTTCTCAGTTGTGGCCCCCCTAGGGTTGCCAAATGTTACCTACCTTGCCGGCGGGGGACTCCTGCGTGGCTCCTGGTGCGCGTGCGCCACATGCACGTCACAGGGAAGTGATGTCATGACCATAGAGTTTTCCCTTGTATGGCCGTGGCCATGGCCCCAGCGTGCCCGGCGTCATAACGTCACTTCCCTGTGACGTGCACGCTGGGGCGGGGTTCCCCCCAGGGCCTGATTCCCCGGCGTCGGGGAATGGGCCTCTGGGGCAGGGGGATTTCGGCAGCCTTAGGCCCCCCTGTGGAATGCACTCTCGGATGACACCCGTGCCCTGCCCAACTTGTTTCGTTTCCGCAGGGCATGCTGGGCTGAATTGTTTATGTTGGCCTTTTGAGGGTAATCCACCTGTCTGGGTTGTTTTTGTTGGTGGTGTGGTGCTAGCCGCATATTTTAATAGCTTAACATTTTAATGTTAATAGTTTATACCTGATATTGGTTTTTATGTTGTTTTACCTCATTTATACAGTTTTAATGTTGTAAGTCACCATGAGAACCTTTTGGTGAGTGGTGACTAAAAAAAAAATTTAACACATAAACAAGTCTCCCTAAGGAGAGTTCCAGAGTTTTGGTGCCACAGCTGAGAAGGCCTTCTCCTGGGCTTCCGCCGGCCTAATCCCAGAAGGCGAAGGCATCCAAAGCAGGGCCCCAGAAGAGAACACTGGGTCAGATAGGCTCGTAAGGGAGTAGGCAGAAGCGAATGTTGACTTGCATGTAAGAGAATATAAAAGGCAAAGCCAATCACAGTGGTGCTGTTCATATTTTAATGTGACTTCCACTTTCTGCCTCAGGATCCAGTACTTCAGGCAATAAACAAGGTTTTTTGTATGAGAGCAAGAACGAGCGAGCGTACGTTTGGGTGTGACTGTATATCCCCAATCTATAATGCTGAGGTCTGCAACCTATCACTCAGTTTAGACCAAATATGGCTTAAAAAAAACAAATTAAATCTTTAAGTTATGGTACACTAGAGGGCCAAGTGAGATGCTGGAGTAACCAGTTGGTAGAAGAACAATAGGCAAAGATTTTCATGGCCTTAAAAAATTTACACATTTTTATATTCCTGTCTGCTCAAGGAGCTGTGGCTCAAACAGAGAGCAGAAATACAGTTCTTTTCTGACATCTATCAACCATCTTAAGATCTGAAACTGAAGCTTAGACAGGAAACAAACCCTCTTGTCAAAGGAAGATGTTATGGACTTCCCCTGTTACCACTGCACCTTGCTAGTGAAAGGTAGAGACACAGATTTTCTGAACTCAGTTTTTCAGGTCTCAGCTCTCAATATCGTATTAGGCCATCTGACTTCAATGCAGGAAATCTCATCAGGCCAGAAACGTTGGCTTTTAAGGGCTGCTGCTATTGCCAAACACCTTATCCTGCAACTCAGGAAAGCTGTGACCCCAATATATATTGACACCTGGACAAAAGAATTACTCGATTTAATTGTGAAGGAAAGAACAGCATTTAATAGACAGAATGCAGGAAATTCAAATGCGGCACTGATCTTTCAGGAATGTATGAAATCCGAGACAGCACTTATTTGTAACTGCTAGGATAAGTTTCCACCTTTACTTCCCCTCCTTCCGTTATTCACCTCCCACCCCTTTCTTTGGCCCTTCCCTTTTTCTTTTCCTAAATGTCCTTCTGTTCATCCCTTTCTGTTTCCAGTTCAAGGCTAAATGAGATGATGGCTTCATGGAAGGGAGAGGGTTGTTTGACAGCAAGTATTTTATGTTGGACCCCCCCAAAAAAACACAACCCGGGGCAGATATATGAAAGAAATGTGGAGTCAATTATTCCAAAAGAATTCCACTATTTGCTGTTAAGATGAATAGGAGATGACAGGGTAAACAAAGCAGTTACCTTCACAGTTAAATCCTCGTTGCCTAATGTGACGTGGACGTGAATTGGAGGGTAAACCCCTCGATCAGCATGGTGCTCCATGGTAGCCCTCATTGCATTCTAAGATTTCAGGAAAAAAATCAAAAGAATATTAATAAAATGCTATTTTATACCACTTTTGTTTACTATATATTTTCCTAAGTGTGTGCACAAACTGGACCAAAGTTTTTCAAATTTGTAAAAGGCTGACACCTATTATATTTGCCTCCTGCTTTATCGACATGGCTACCTAACTAGCCTAAATGATAAATTGTTGGTCTATAAGCAGGGGAGGGAGGGTGTCTTTCAACACCAAACTTGACTTTCAAAAGGTTTCATGTAAACAAATATGTAGTCTTAGAACTTAGCAAAGCGTATGGAGAATGCTCCTAATCTCAGTATAGTGGAACCTAAACAAGGCCACCAAAGTACTTTGGCCCTTCAAAATTGAAATTAGCTCCATTTCTTTTCAGAGTAATCTATTAAAAAACAAGTAGACAAGGGCATACCAAATTCTACCTGGAAGGAAGACTAGGGTTTTTTCCCCTCATGTTTTGCAAACAATTACAGTTATGTACATTAATTTAAAAATTCATTTGTGTATAATCTTTTTTAGAAGGAGAAGAGTTGGTTTTCATTAATTTAAAAATTCATTTGTGTATAACCTTTTTTAGAAGAAGAAGAAGAGTTAGTTGTTATGCTGTGCCTTTCTCTACCCTAAGGAGTCTCAAAGCTGTTTCCAATCACCTCTCCCCACAACGGGCACCTTGTGAGGCAGGTGGGGCTGAGAGAGCTCTGACAGAATTTTGACTGGCCCAAGGTCTCCAAGAAGGCTTCCTGTGGAGGAGTGGGGAAACAAACTCAGTTCTCCAGATTAGAGTCCACGGCTCTTAACCACTGTACCACACTGGGGGTTGTCTTACATTCTCCTTTTGAGTAAATAAGCAATGCTGCTCCGCAGGGTTCTGGAAAAGAATGGGCCTCCATTTCAAACTGAGCTTTAGAAGGGTCTTCTCACATTACTAGAAATGGCCCCAAGCATTTCCACACAGGTAACACGTATGGCAGTTCACCAGGCTGAATACCAGGCCTTACAGCAGGATTCAGCAGAATGCCTATAAAAATCCCCTTGGAGACCCTCACACAGAGCTTCAAGCAGAAAGGGATGGCTTATGTTCAGTGTTCTCTCTAAACTGAGTTAGTGTGAGCTAGCTCAACATTTTCTAGCCTCCAGCTCACACATTTTTGTCTTAGCTCAGGAAGAATGGTTCTAGAGCAAACTAATTTATGCAGCAGGCAAATCGCTTGCTCAAAATTTTAATCCCAGTAGCTCACAAAGTAGAATTTTTGCTCACAAGACTCCACAGATTAGAGGAAGCATTGATCATGTCCCAAGTTATTTTCAGGCACATATGAGATGGGTTAGGCTGAGCGCATCTGATTGGGCCAAGGTGATTGGCAGAATGGTGATTTGAACCTGGGTCTCTAACTACTCTACAGCACTCTAACCACTGTACCACAGTGACACGAACTACCTGTTTTTTAGCACTAGCAAATATGAGAGATTATCAGGTTTATCTTCCCTAAGAACTTTGACTAAAGAAAACAGAAAAAAGAGTAACTGCAACAACGTTTTTGTTTCCCATTGCACAAACCTTGAAAAGTTCAAAAACCATGTAGTAGAGGTGTGATGGAACATATACCACCTGCATGGGTTGCTCTGGTGATTTTACTGGAAGAGAAGGGGAAAGAAACAATCAACTGAATGTCAGACGGCCGCTATCAGTTTTGGCACTGCCTGAGCATGACTAAACAGTATGGCTCTTTTATAACGTTACATTGGCCAGGATCCAAAGAGCTAATTTAGGTATATTCAAGGACTTGCATGTGTCGGGGGATTTTAAAATTATTTTTGCCTTTGTACACTCCCCACCCCCCAATAATGTATTACAACTTCAATTTAAATGTGTTTCACAAGTAGTTTGCTGTGTGGAAGGCTACGAGCTGGGTTACTACTGAAGTAGCAGAAGTCTTCCTGCCAACCTAGCAGTTTGAAAGCAAGAAATAGCAAGTAGATAAATAGGGACCACTTGGGTGAGAAGGTAATAGCGTTCCGTGCGCCTCGGCGTTTAGTCATGCCGGCCACATGACCATGGAAACGTCTTCGGACAGCGCTGGCTCTTCGGCTTGGAAACGGAGATGAGCACCGCAACCCTAGAGTCGGACTCGACTGGCTTTCGAGCAAGGGAACCTTTACCTTTTTAGCAGAAGTCTGAAACATCACTGGTATGTGAATCAAGCAGCATGCGTATTTATATGTTTATACATTTTATGACAATGCAGTCTTGAGTTCCATTTGAACAAAATGTACTGAAATCTGGTTCTAGGAAGTTGAATGGATATTTAAATAAAAAATTTAAAAAGCGATTTCAATTGCTGACCACTGTATTGGGCAGAAACAGGTCTTTAGAAAAGGAATATTTATATTTACTAACTTCTTTAACTGGGATTAACAATAAGACTGGTATCTGTTTCCAGCTGCTGGAGCCAGATGCTTGGAAAGGCACGTCTGTCTCTCTTCTATAACCTTTTATATACACAGCAATTAATATCTGTTAAACCTTTAGAGTCAGAGTAGGCCTTATCTATGTTCGAAGACTAACGTGTAGCCTCAGCAGGAGAAGACGCAGGAACTGTGAATTCTGGCCTCATACTAATTTATATATTCAGAACGTATTTTAAAAGCAGTGCCTAAGACTTATTTCTCAAGTAAGAACCAACTAAAGTTCTGATTTAAGATGATAATAGTTGTACACTTGTCTGCAACAGCCAACAGCGTGGGGATTATCTGAGCACTCTCACACACCTTTTAGACTCATTTTATAAGCAGTAACTTAAAACTCCTCCACAGTAAACAGGGATAACAACTGGTGTTACACAACAGCAATAATTATGATAGATTCTACTTGCTCTAGGGTTGCCAAATTGGCCCGGGGGGCGGGGAATCCCCCGCTTTGGAGGGCCGATTTCCCATGCAACGGAAATCGGCCCCGGGGGAAACCCTGCCCCCCCCGAAGCTGCGTCACCAGAGGTGACGCACGACGTAGGGCACGTTGGGGGCATGGCCCAGATCTTCGAGGGGGAACCATATGGTTTCCCCCCCACGATCTTGGCCACACCCCCAACGTGCTACGCCGTGCGTCACTTCTGGTGACGCTCCGGCGGCACACGCGCGCTTTGCGTGCGCGCACACACATCCCCAGCCAGCTCCCGGAGCCAGAAGACGCTCCCCCGCCGGTAAGGAAAAAACATTTGGCAGCCCTAACTTGCTCTGGCAGAATTTTCTCCATCTACACACAAAAGAGCAGAAGGATTAAGCTCTCCCTTGATTTGCTCTCCCAGCTTCAAAGAGAATTTTATTCAAATAAAGAGTAAACATCGGTCAAAGAGTTTTGCACAGTTCTTATCAGACTTAAGTGAGCTTACTATATCCAAAGACCATGTCGAGCCTGTCAGCACTTTTGGAATTCTGAGAACATCTAGTGGGTATCATAAAATGGCTGACATGCAAGGCTCAGCAAACCACAAAATGGATGCTATGGTGGGTACAACCAAATGTTGGGGGCTTCCAAGCCAACCATTGTTCTAGAATAGAGCCAGCTGTTCCCAAAGGAGTGGTCCATGAACCTCCTGAGCTGTTCTGAAACACCTCCAGAGCAACCCAAAGCAAAGGAAAGCCTGAAAAACAAATTGTTTTTAATATCGCATGTAGTAGACACTGACACTGTATTAATGCACACAATAAGTTACAGTATCTGTCAGTACTACAGAATGAATAGACCAGGGATCCCCAATGTGTAGGGTTGCCAGGTCTTATCTGGCTGCTGGCAGGGGGGATCCAGTGTCACTCTGGGAGTCTGTGTCCAGTGTCATTCCGGAGGTGACATCAGGCAGGACGCTCTAGCATTTGGGCAAAAAACTATGGTCATCATAGAGTTTTTGCCCAAATGCTAGTGTCCCCCGTGTGATGTGCCCAGCGCAATGACATCACCCCTGGGCGGGACAGGGCTCTTTGGGGGCAGGGCTTCCCCGGTGGGCCAACTGACAGGCGGCGGATTGGGGGCCCTGAAATTGGGGGGAAATCCACCCCCATTGGGGGGATGGCAACCCTACCAATGTGGTGCCTGCCAACACCTTTTCTGGAGCTCAACAAGTGTTTTTAGGAAGTGGGTGGGGCCCAGTAGGGCTTTTGTCCAGCAAAGCTTCTGACTGATTACTGGAGATCTGATTTGCTGTGAAGATTTTTTAAAAATGTTGCTTTGGCAGCAGCTGCCATCACAGCACAAGGATCTGCATTATACTACTAAAGTTAAGATGTGGCAATAATTTTGTGGCTGGCTCCGCCTCCTGCAGCACCCATTTTGTTGTTGCGCCCATCATGCTGTGTCAGAATTCCAAATTTGCCCACAGGCTCAAAAAGGTTGGGGACCACTGGAATAGACGCATCATGCACTGGATGCTTGACCAATAAACAGAAATCCTTCTGCTGGCAGTGTCTGAAGGAAAACACAAGTCAGTTCCCCCTTCATGTTCTTACCATTCCGTTCTTCAAGTAGAAGCTCTGGAGAGCTCATGTAATATAAGTCACAGAGACTCTTTGCGTTTTCATAGCCATCTGTAGGAAATTAAAGGCATAACAAACTTTAAATAGGGCATGGTTTCCAGTCCTGAAAAACACAAAATGCTCTACATCTTACAACAGCACTACAGATAAGATTAGAATTTCAACATCCAATTCACATGCAAAAGAACCCCCTCAGGAAAGCTCCTCCATTAGCATGTCACAGCCTGGGAAACTCCTACAAGATAATGAATCAACCCTACCCCACCTTCCTGAGTAGATATAAATTACCTGCCTACCATTTTTCTTCTCACATTGACACAGAGAGTATTCCATCTTTCTGTGTTATACCTCTGAGGATGCCAGCCAAAGCTGCTGGTGAAACATCAGGTACCACAATGCCAAGACCACGGCCATACAGCCTGGAAACTCTACAACAACTAACATAACAAACTTGTTTAAAACACTCGCTCAAGTATACAATCTACTGTCTACAGTCTTCAATGTCTCCTTATGTTCTTGGAGGAAAGACTTTAAGGGCTGACCAGTTTTACTACTCCAGAATACAATTTTGAAACCTGTGGTTGACATTTATCATACACTTCTCCTGTCACAGCAAGTTAAATTACCAGTATAACCAGGACAGTCCATTTGCTGTGATCCCATGAAAGTACAAGACACGTACTTGGTGTAATTACCTGCTTCTTGAGGATTTCAGCTTATTTGAAGAAAAAAGCAAGTTTCTATGGTTGGGAACTGTGTGTCTGAAAGTGTGTGGACAAAGCATGGTAAAATCTCAGAAGCCAGTTGGATCGCTGTGGAACATTTCCAGTGGTCAAGAGAATGGGCTTTGAACATCACTTTCGGTGTTTGCAGGCCAGCAGAACTGAAGCTATGAGCCCCTGATGGAATTAAACTAGAGACAGCCAGCAACCTGCATACACTAACTCCAACTATTCTGCAGTAATATGTCAATATTGCCTCCCTAAATCTTACCTTTTATAACTTCAACGACATTGCACTTCGGGTCAATACTTCCAATGTGTTTCGGGTGAGCTGGGTTAACTTTGACTTTCCCCCCGAACAACATAGCTGCCAACACACACAAAAAAGATAACGAGAATGCATCGTAAGTGATTTCACAACTTATGGGCTTTGAGAGCAACACACTGTACAACTGAAAGGCAAACTCAACACCCACCAAATGTTAAGCAGTATACACTAAGAAAGGTATTAAAAGAAGCAGCAGACACTTAAGTGAAGGGCCCCCCCCCCCCCAATATAAGGCAGTACTTACTGTGCTGGTTAAGCAGCATTCTAATTGAAATGCGACTCATGAAAAAGCGGTCTAAGAAATACTGCACGTTCTGACTGGTCACTGGATCGACTCCATAATGATCCTTATATTCTATCACTCCCTGAGCCATGGTAGGAATGACATCGTTGTGACGATTTCGGATCGTTATCACAGTATCTGTAAAACTGAAAAGAGGTGTGGATTTATTATTATAGATATCATTATAAATC